ATTTCATCAAACTTCAACAACAATTACAACACCCTCAAACACTAACATTTCACCAACTCTCACAATCAAAAACTACACAAGGTTAATGTCAACCCACTAATGAAAAAATATGTTATAACCTGCCACTACATACACACGATGAAGATCACTTTCCTCATCCACAATTTTTAAAATTAGCTTAAGGTACACACACCGAATGGATTTTGAACAGAGGTAAAAAAACACAATGAAGTTTATCAAAAAGTAACAAAAACTACTACAAAGACAAAATATTAATTCCAAATTAAATTCTCAGTTTACACCAGCTACAAACTTAAAAATCGGAACATAAATTTTAATTCAAACTTTACAACACCAAAGGAATTTCTGAAAAATTACAACCATTCCGAAAAGGACCATAGCAAATAATTAATGAACCAAACTGATGTAACATACAATCTTGTAAACCTAAATTTAAAAAAAATGTTCAATACTGAAACATTCTTTTACCCTATTATCCGAATTAGTACGTTCTTCGCAAACTGACTCATCTATACTCGTTCACAGGACTCAAAATTATTCACAATAACTCCGATTACAAACAAAAACAAAGCACTGATATGAATTCTATCCAAAAACCATTGGAAACAAATTAAAAAGAACTTAACAAACAAACATCGAAAAATTTAGATAACAAAAAAAAATAAAATCAAACAAAAAGAAAAAATCGAAAATTAGAAGAAAAAATTCTACCTTAAAATCAAAAAGAAAAATCTCCACATCGACAATCTTTGCGACTTCGAACTCAGCCACGCAAAAATTATGAAACATTCATTCCACAATCTAAAATATTAGAGAAAGTTGAAATTCAGAAACCACTTTAAAATTAATTATCATTTTCACCTCTTAAAAGATCTTTTCATAACCATACATTTTTTCACAATTCATGCTGAAAAAAAAACCCAACCAAACTAGTTCAAATTCAGCCAATCAGAACCTTTTACGAATCCTCACTTCATTTTTGACACGACTTCTTTAGCCAATAAACAATCAACTTCAAGCGAATCTCTAACTATGAATAAAGGAATCTCCAGGTCGAAATTAAGCAAACCGCTAAACATTGACACCTGAAAAAAAAAAACGTCTCAAAATTACAACTCTCCTCCATCAAAAAGTACAAAGATTAACAATATTGTCCCAACTTAGACCTCAAAAACCCCTAAGGTAAAAGTAATAAATTAACCTAAAGACCAAAGTGGAGATGATCCTCTAGCCTTAAGTACAAATTTTTCTTAGATATCCTCAATAATCCAATAAATAACAAGAAAACTAAGAAGACCCTTAGGAGCCCTCAAAACATCCCTTCACCAAAAACTGCCGAAACCCAACTCACTTTTCAAAAAACCAATAAATAATCCGACCACACTTGAATTTAGTCTCAAAAAATAAAAAATAATTCTTCGAAACGAATCACTTCTTCAAATGCTTCTTTCTCAAACACTCAACAATACTCTTTCAAACTTTTTTCAAACCTTTCAAATTTTTTCAAGCTTTATATATTCTTAATAACCGATAGCCTTGACACATTCATCCTCCTCCTGATAATTTTTTGCAATTTTTTCATAATTTTTTTAGTCCCTAGCCCAAACCTACGCTAATTTCTCCAAAATCCTTGACCACCTCCTCAGGTACGAGATTTCAAATAACTATCTAAATGTTCCAACATCTATTCAGTAGAACAGATGTTTTTGTTCTTTTCTCATATTTTTGATATCCCTCATAAGGACGTTATGCAAATGTATAAAAAAGGTTATCATAACTTTCGCATTAGCAACGATACTTTTAATCCTTTTCATCAAACAATCGAACAATTTCCTCATAAAAAATATACTTCTCCAAAAATTTTTCCAAAACTGCTAATCAACAACCCCCACACCATTTCACGCCAACAACATCACAAGAACCTCACTAACAAACAGTCAAACAAAAAACCCCCAATTTTCAACATGCATCTATTTTCAAGACAATCCATAGACATTTGAAGAAAGACACGCACGATTGTCCGAACCACTAGAATCAGTAGTTCGCCATGCATCTCTAAGCAAACCACAATACGAAACAGTATATAATATATACCCCCTCTCCAACAAGCCCTTAATAGAGCAAGACACCAAAGTCATAAACAAAAGAACCGAAACAATCATAACCGAAATAAACAGACAAATTATGCATCCAAGACGAAATAGAAATTTGCAAACCCCCAGAATTGAATTCAACATTCACCAATAGCAAATCCTATAGTCTTCTCCAGTAGCACAATTCAAAGTACTGCCCACACCCCATCACAACAAAACATATCAAACATCCCATCTGATTTTTTAGGTGCAACCCCTACATCTGAACCAATCCGAGAAAATCGTTTAATCCCCTAGCCACTACAGAACATCCCCCATTGTGGATGAAACAAGTTTCTACTCAAGGCGAACCAAGTTTAGTGAACGATCCAATAGACGTTTCATCTGGCACAACTTCCTCACTACCAGAAACTCTTTCACTCCCTTCAACCCCTTCCTTAACTCAAATCTCACAATTTTCTCCAAATTTTCCTACAAATCTCGACGCTAGATATAGAGAAACTTCAACCAATAATAAAAACCTACGATTGGATTGGAATACATTCGTAACACCCCCTCCATTATTTGGACAATATCACAAAAGTAACAGGTTAAACATAGGTTATAGTAAAATAATTCACCATCCCTTATCCCTAGCCCCCCCCCCCCAAATATGAGAGCTCAATCTTTACCTCCCCCATTTATAACAACAGAAATAATCTACAAATAGGTTAGATACATGAAAAAGACAATTGGATATATAACTTTCACTAATGAACATCACTCACGAGCAAGAACTATCTCTAATGAACGACACTGTTTTTAGCGCAATTCACTTTAAAATACAGCGAGACACGAGATTAGACTATACAATTAAAAGAATTTTTCAAGAAATGTCTTTAACAGAACTTGAAACACTACATCAATTATGCGAACTTGAAATAACACAAATTCTACAATGACTTGCACTAGCAGTACTTAAAATCCCTTATGCAGGATATTTATATCAGGCAATAGATCGAATTTTATTGACTACGAAGGAAACATACTATGGTATAAGCCTTGTACCAAAAAATCATCACCCTTATATGTTTTTGAAGACCAAAGATGTTATAAAAGAATCCCATTAGTCAACAAAAATAAAATACATTTTGTTGATACACTCTCCCGAGGAACTTATTTTTGGGATACATCAGTCCCATGTGGATCAGAAAACAGCCACAATGTAGTACAAATGAATTCAGACGAAGATAAATACTATCTTCTCACGCCATATCCTACATTTATGCAACCACAAAAAAAGTTTTCACCAGAAAGCATTAGAGCTTTTACCCGCAATCCAAATATCGATTTACAATCGATCGGCATAAACTCTAGATCCGACATTCAACATCACATACGTTCACAACAATTTGAAGAATTACTCACAAAAATGGACACCATACAACGACAATCTATAGATCAAAACCTACGCAAACTTGCAGAAACAGCAGGCTTTTCAGACATCTACGCACAAGACTACAGCGGGTATTTTAAAAATATAAAAGATAACATTTATTTAAATGTCGAAAAAATCACAAGATATATCACCAAAAAAAATTTTTAGTTTTGTTATTTTGAAAAACGAACTTCTTGCATTTCTAGGATGGCCCTACTACATCTTAGAAAGATTGAATATAGTAAACGCAATGTTTAACTTTCTTGGATTTCTTTTCTCCTTACATAGAGGAATCCACAATACATGCGCAATACACACACACAAGTAAACAAACCAGCAAGCGTAGTACGCATACTTTTTGCAGGATTATTTGGAATATTTTCTAAACCAATAAATAAAATACTGCTCAAATGAAAGAATACAATCCCAAACTATCAACAACACCGAATACATATGACGATTCACAAAACAATACAAATACAACGTCTACGGCACCACAATTACAAAGCCTAAACCATAACCATCCCTTATATTTAGTGCCAAGAAATTTTAGAAACATAGCCCTGACAGACCGCATATCTCCAAGACCTAAGTACCTACAAAGCCCCATTCAACACATAATAACCTAACAACCTAATATAGAAGACACATACAAGCAATTTATAGAACAACCCCATACCACTAATTTTTGTTCTCAGAACAACCATCTTTTTAGCCCACGATGAGCCGCCAAGTTGGATCACTCCATCGCTCAATTTCCTACCCAATCATCCTTCAAAGCAACATCCCTATCATCCCACTTTTCGCTTTCCCTCCACCTCAATCACCTCATGATAACACTTCATCCAGCATGGATTCAGAAACTAATTCAAACACCACTGTATATAACACTATTTTCCAACTTAATAACTCCGAGACCACTGACGAATTTGACAACTCCGAATAAAGGGCGTCCATCTAAATCTACGCCTGCATCAATGTAAAACATTATGCTCACATAGTCGAGCCAAAAATCCCGAAAGATGTTAAACATGAAAAAAATCCAATCAAGTCTAATTAAATCGAAAATTACAGGAATGTTGCAAATAAGTTTTTATCAGCCATTGACTATGTAAGGTATAAGAACCTAGAGGCAAGCATGGTTCACAAAGCTCAAGATATTCACATTGGCTAATGGAAATAAAAAAATTAGAAGCACGGTTGACGGTATTCAGGAAATGCGAGTAGCATCAACAGCAGACATTGTTTGTCCCACAAAATCGAGAGAGGACAATGGTCTTCTCATCGGTTCTATACAAAATTGGACCACCACAACCTTAGTTTATTTCTATGCCCTTTCAGCTCATGTTCTTAAGAGCTTCTAAAAGTATTAACTCAATTGAAGAATTCCAATTAGATAGTTTTTGATACAAGTTGTTCAACATCAAACGGATGAATGGAAAAAGATATCAAGCATACTGTCGGGTGAACTGTGGTCTAAATTGACGGACTGATTTTATTAAATGGGTTTGAAATGCTTCTATTTTTGATTTACATGGTCTGAATTTAGAAATATTTTATGACTTCTCATTTTTTGCAATCTAAGATCGTCCTAGTTAGATTTTTTTTTCACATTAAGTGATCGAGGGTGATTGTTCTGATCTGAGTGCTCGTCAATCAACAAAGGTGCCAATCATTATCTGGGCGCATGATGGCCTCAATCAGCCATACAAATTAAACCTCTCTTAGCCCTGTGTGCGGCCTTTTGAACAGCACTTGCGAACATGCGTCCACTCATAAGGTAGAACAAAAGATTGAACGAGTGTCTCATCAGCAGCAGAAGCCAGTTCACCTTCAGAAAGAATTTCTCTCGTTCATTTTCAACTTTCCTCTTCCCATCGTGTCCATCGTTTTCGTAGTCCCCATTCGAGTCTTGATTCGATCGCGCCCTATAAATCATTCATAGTTGAAAACTTTTTGTTTTTTATGTCCTTTATCAAATAAAAGTTGGGTTTTTGGCCTTTCTCGGCCAAGGATATGAAATATAATTTTTTTCGAGTTTTTTTTCTTGAAAATTTACACACGAAATGTGCACTACAACTAAGTGAAAATAACTAGCGGGGTATTAAGCTTCAGTTACCTGGTGAGCACCCAAAACATGAATGAAATCGTGGCGTGGAACAGGAGATATGAGAGTGTGAGAGCGACTAGCATGCCAACGTATCTACGTTCCGAATCCGCTTTCTTTTTCGCCCGTATCTGGGCTGGACTGGGCCCTTTTTTGGCGCGTATCTCTGCTGGAGCTGGTAACCTTCTTGCTTCGTTTGTATCTTGCGGTAAACTGGTTATAGAAGTCCCCGTTCGGGAAGTTTGAGGTACTGCGCTTATGTTATCTGTCTGAATGTCATTCCCAGGCTTCTTTTGTTTGCAGAGCGAGATGACGAACAGAATGTTTGCAACGAAAAGAAAGCTCATCGGAATCCCGAGGAACAACACAAAACTACCTATGAACCGATATACAACTTGGATTAGTTGAAACCTCGTCGATTCGAGGAACGTACACGTGCTGCTGTTCGAATCAACCTTTAGGAAATACAACGCAGGTAGACCATACGAAATAGCCCCAACAACAATACCAATAACTACTTTGTTCAGTTTAGCCTTGCTCGAGTAGATGTGGTGCTGAATCGGGCAAAACAGTATCAGAAGTCTGTCCAGAGCCATTGTCACAACCAGATAGGACGTGATATTGCCACACACTGAGCCTTGGTAAACGAGTATCGGACACCATACTTCCTAAAGATCAAACAAGACTGCTCATATCAGGGCGAAGCCCTAATGTTCCGACTGCCTTTTAAGGTTCATAAGAGCAGCAGTAAAAAAATAAATGAAATAAAATAAAATGAAAATTTTTTTTCTAAAATTTGAAAATTTTTATGGAAATCATCCCCCCACACGCCATATAAAGTACAAAAAGATAGATTTCGTTCCTTGTAACAAATCATTTGTGGCAAAAAGCTTCGTCCAATTAATTTGGAACGATTTATAGGACGGATTAAATCACCGCTTACGCGTTAATAGCGCGATTTATATCGCGCGTTAATTGTCCCAAATTGGTCAAAATGGCAAAAATGGCAATCTTTAAACCCTCATAACTTTACAAAAAATAATCACAGGTGAAATATCTTTTCAAACTTGAGCTCAGGACAACAATAGCTTTCGAACGACATTAAAAAATTCCGTCAAAAATGGCTAGTTAAAAAGTCGAAATTTGTCTGAAGAAAAAAAACCCACCCCGAGCACAAATATTCCGTTACTTTTGTATCGAAAGTCGGAACAATAAATATCTATCGCTGGAGGGTAGTGGTGATGAAGTCTCCCGCGGTGATCAAAATAAAAATCGATCATATAGACAAACAAGACTGCTCGTATCAAGGCGAAGCCCTGAATGTTCCGACTGCCTTTTAAGGTTTTATGGAGCAGTAATAACATTAAAAAAATAAATGAAATAAAATAAAAAGAATTTTTTTTCTCTAAAATTCGAAATTTTTTATGAAAATAATCCCCCCACACGCCATATAAAGAACAAAAAGATAGATTTCGTTCCTTGTAACAAATCAATTATGGCAAATAAGCTTCGTTCAACCAATTTGGAACGATTTATAGACGAATTAAATCTCCAAAATTGCAATCTTTAAACCCCCTTAACTTTACGAAAAATGATCACAGGTGAAATATCTTTTCAAACTTGAGCTCAGGACAACAATAGCTTTCGAACGATATAAAAAAAATTCCGTCAAAAATTGCTAGTTAAAAAGTCGAAATTTGTCTGAAGAAAAAAAACCTACCGCGAGCACAAATATTCCGTTACTTTCGTATCGAAAGTCGGAACAAAAAGTACAGATTAACGTAAGTATAGAATCGATAATTCTACAACCAATTTGCCAGCGATAACCGATTCTATACAGATATAATCTAATTTGCTTCCACCAAAAATAAATCGATTTTAGTGCCAAATCATTCGATTATTCTTTTCTATAAAAGCTGTACATAATATGTAGATAATCGATAGATAATCTGTATATAATGTTTAGACAATCTGTATAAATTGACTAAACTGCCTAAAAACTATGAGGCCGCAACATTTTCAGTTTTGACCATTCATGATTTATGTTAATGATTTTTTCACAAACTTAACAAAAATTTGTTAACATGAAAATGTTTTTGCAGCAACTTCTTCTCACAAAAAATATAATATTAATATAGTATGTAATGTATATAGTATGCGGAATGTTTGATGCAGAAAAAAAAACAGTTTTAGAGTGTTTTGGTAGTAATTTTATAATGGAGATAGATATACAGTATGACACTTTTGCTAAGCAAAATGCACTATAATCGTTTATCAAAACTACATAATTGAAATTTTACTATATAAAATTACAACAGATCTAAAATAATTAAAAATTTCTGTAGATAATTGATTTTTATCCAATTTTGTCACTGTGGGCTCCGTTTTGTATCAAAGGGTCGGGAATTCGAGGTCCATTATGATCACAGCTCGTTGCATCAGGGTGTGACAACACTTCCCACAGAAAAATAACCAAACAATTCCGTGTTGTATGTAGTTAAGGGGACAACAGCGGTTATCCCTAATGAGCTGAACAGCTTGCGTGTTGGTGCTTCCTCATGGGTAAGTTGGGTTAAAAATCGCAGTTGTGCGACTCTTTTTCCTACCACTGAAAGTGAGGATGAATTTGCCCTCCAATGTATTTTGTTTTCCACGCAAAAGCAAATTCCGCAAAAACCATCAGATTGGGTCAAGTGATATATCGCAGAAAAACCCTATGTCAGTGTCGAGAAAAGCCGGTTTGAAGTTTTATTTTATGGTCTAACTTCGAAC